GCCTGCGCCGGGGCTTTCGGATCGGAGGAGTGGGCCGCCCGGCTCTGGCGTCCTCCGTCCCCTGCTGCCCAGGCGGCCGCGTCCCCGGGTGTGCCGCGAGCCGGAGAGTGAGGTCGGCGCCGGGCGGCACGGGGTGGTTATCGGAAGCAGTATCAGCCTCTGACAGTGGTTTTTATAACAAAACTGCGGTAGAGCAGACTGAATTGGAGGGCGTTAGTCACTGCCGCTTGGAATGTGTGTCTCTCTTGGCCGTGTTACCGCTGGAGTTGGGGTTACTGCCTTCTGAAAAACAGAAGTGCCTTGATAGCTTCACCTAGGGCTCCCGAACGGCGCGGTGTAACCGCCACTTAGGCGTGGAGACGGAGAGGAGGTGCTGGGGCGGGGGCGCTTTCCAGGATGGCCTGCAGCTTAGCTGTGTTCTGTGAGCTGAGCCTAGTCGGGTGAGTTCTGCAGTTCACCCGCGGCTGCCAGAGAAGTGTGTGTCTGTGCGACGGCGCTGCCCATTTCCGGCTCGCGCATTCCTTGTGGCCCCTCAGCAACGTTTCTGCTGCTGACATCTCTGATTGATCTCTCGAGTTCCGATGGCCCCAGCTAGTGTGGCCGCTTTTCACTCAGGTGGCTACCACTCCCTAGATGGTCTTGGCTGGACTCTTGGCTGGAGGAACGTGTGTGGGGGCGGGAGTCCGTGGAGCCTCGACCTGTCATCTAGATGCCTGACCTGCTCTGCTCCTCCAACCTGTCCTGCTCCCAGCCTTCCCTGCTTGTTTGTGGTCCAAGCCTCTATCTAAGGCCTCGAGCTGGAAATCTCTGATCTCTGATTGTCTTCAGTTCTTTCCTTTCTTTTGTCCCTTCACATCTGGTCCAACGGCAGCCATTCACTCTGTGACTCTGACCCAGCTTCGGAATGTGATGTGATTCTGATTTCTTCTGCTTTCCACTCTCACCGGGGTGACTTTTTGCTGGACTGGCTCAGCTCTTGCCACACAACATCCCATTGTCAACCAGGAAACCAGAGCCAACTTCTAATTTGTTTAGTTGTTGAGATAAATTAGCATGTATTGTGCAGTGTACAAATGTCCACGATGTATATGTAAGTGTCGGCATGTGGTAACAATAGGCAGTGGTGCCTCAGCACCCACCCGCCTCCAGAGCCCAGCCAGTGTGGTCCTGGAGCTGGCAGAGCTGCCCGGTGACCTCCACCTTCCCAATCCTCCTGCCGCAGGTAACCACATCTTTGGTCAGATTTCATGACCTGAAGTAAAAGTACAGAACAAGACTAGTTTTGTCATAGGCATTGTTAAGGCACACGCTGGTGGTTTATCTGTTCTTTTCAAAGCTCATGCCACACTTGGGCCTCTGCTTTAACTTCAGTATCATTTTGCATTATCCATGTGATTCTGTGTGATTTCATTCATTTTTAACTTTTATTAAATTTCATTGTTATCACAACCACAATCACTTTTCAAATCTAAGTATCTGAAACTAAAAGTTTGTTGTTATTTAAACCTACTTGGTGACAAAACCTGACTTAGTAAAGTCTAATGCCCTCCCTTGCACTTTGTGCAAATGCAATCACATTTCCGTGAAAAAATAACAATCCTGACTGCGGAGCGCTGGCCCCTGCCCCGGCGAGGCTGTCAACATATCTGTAGGAGCTTTCTGCCCTGTCGCCTGTGTGCAGTCTGAAAAGTTCTGAATGTCCAAACATACCTATCCCAAGAGTATCCATGCTTTTGTAGAATGAACATTGAAGTGTCCAAGCAGTGCCTATGTGAGCAGAGTTGTCTGTGTTTTGTACACTCAGAGGAGCTTTTCTAAGATGTAGATTTAGCAGGACTAAGATGTAGATTTAGCAGGACTGTACTGAGTTGTACAGCTTGGCAGCATTTCTTTTTAACACTTGGCATTGTCGGGTTCCTTAATTTTTGTCCGTCTAGTGACAGACACAGGATTGCCTCCTTTCTTAAACGTCATAGCTTGCTTTTCCGCGTTTAACTCTGCACTGGCTACCTTTTGCACTCAGAGGGAACTAGAAAGCCTCCCAGAGTTTGTAAGGCCTTTTTCATTCAAACTCTAGCCAAACTCCAGGCTGCTTAGTTCTAAGACCTTTAGGTTCTTTGTTGTATGTCCTGCAAGGGTGGAGTGGGTGCAGCCCAACATTGCTGCTATTTTTCAAATAGGCATTTGGCTTTCAGGTCCTTTGGGCTATTTTCAAGATTAAAAGTATCTCTCCCCCCCCTTTTTTTTTTTAATTTTATTTATTTGTGGGGGGGGCAGCTCAGCCCACCAGGGGGCGGGGCTGGCTGGCATGTGGTGCTGGGGGATTGAACCGCAGTCCCTGTGCTTTGCTATCTCACCAGCCCCTCTCCCCCTTCTTTTTTAATTGTTATGTGTTGTAATACATAGTATTTTTATTGGGCTGGTATTGGCACATACATCCTCTCTCATTTCTGACTAAACCAGCTGCTTTTATTTTTTGAAGTGATCATGATGGACATGACATTCTCAGCCAATTATTATATTTTCCTTTAGAAATAAATCAGAATGAGTTATGCAGAAAAGCCTGATGAAATTACGAAAGATGAGTGGATGGAAAAGCTCAATAACTTACATGTCCAGCGGGCAGACATGAATCGTCTCATCATGAACTACCTGGTCACAGGTAACATTTACTAGAAAGATTCCCCTGCTTAAACAGAGTTCTTTCATTTTGTCCAAGAGGTACTTTAATGCTGAAGGTAGATGGTAAAGTTACATTATGTTTACACATTATAAAGACAGTGCTAACGATGGATTTGTAAAGTATTATATTAAAGGTGGACTTTGCTGGAGAAAAATAATTATCCCAGGTCTCAGAGACCTAAGGCACAACTTGTTTTTGTCCTTTAGCAATCAAGATCATTGAGACTGCTCTGAAATATATTTAAAGACCAGATAATTTCTGTCTTTGGGCCAGACTAGTAAAGTGTACCAGCCTGTTTCCAGTGTGCCCACTGCAAATGAGGGAATGGGGGAAAGGCAGGAGTGTATACAAGGAGACAGCTTTCAGACCCCTCCTCCTCCTCCTCTTAGAAGGGAGATCAGTGTTGGCTCTGGTGAGAAAATGTGGGTATTTTCAAAAAGCACAATATGTAAAAACCCTTGTCCTATTAATGCTCAGCCCCTCATCCCAAATTAATGTCTGTTGAAATTTTTAGGAAGGTGATGAAGAAGTCTTGGCCTGTAGTGAGAGGAGGGACATGCATGTGTTGATGTTGGTGAGATTCACAGGCTTGTCCTGAGCCAGAGTCACCAGGGCCCTGTAGGTGAAGCCTGGGGAGTGCAGTCCTGTGCAGGCACAGCTAGTTTGCCCGCTTCATCTGGAGCCAGACCTCTGATCTGGCATCCAGATTTGTGATCCCAGTCTTAGTCAGGATGCTTCCCCTGACAGTGCTGTAGCAGTCATTCAACCTCTGGCTGGCAGTTTAGGGCCTTTGGGATGAAGTAGAAAGAAACAAAGTGCAATCTTGTTCCTGGGTTCTTTGTTTGTCTGGTTTTGGTA